GCACCCAGAAAGATTGCAGCCTAGGAGGGTAATTCTACTTTGTCACATAGGGTTGCCTGACTCGATGGTACCGAACGAACATCAACACCAGTCATTTGCAGAGCACCTCCTAATGCCAGCTAGGTGGGTGGCAGGAGTGAGGGGACTAGCTAAAAGGGGGCAGGTGTACAGGCAGACCTTGAGATCTGACACCTCACAGATATTTGTGTTTGGCAAGCCTGGGTCGAACAAGTCTGTCAGCACCATCTCCCCAGCAATATGTGTGCGCTGTGTGTCTGTTACATTTCACTGACTAGGGGCTAGTGTCCACATCACTTTTCTCTGCACTGAAAAATGTGGGTGACACTCATTATTGCGATAGTTGCTTTATCACGGTGTTCTGGGACCGAACCCGTGTTATCTCTGAGGTTTGCATGTATATAAGGAGATCTGGTGGTGCATCGGGCAGCTAACGGCAAGGTCAGTGGTTCAAAAGATGAGGCTGTCTGCTCCCATAAAGATTTACAACCTTGGACACTCGTAAGGAGCAGCTGTCCTCTGTCCTGCAGGGTCGCCATGAGTTGGGATCAACTTGATGGAGTAAGTTTGTTCATTGTTGTTATGCCTATATGTTATTCTCTGTGGGCATCACAGAGGGCTTCCTGTAGGAGGCAGCTGTGGAACTGAGACCGAGGGAGGTGAATGAGATGGCCCAGCAGTGGGCAGGGATGTGGGCAGAGCATATTTCAGGCCGAGGGAGGAGCCTGTACAAAGGCCCTGAGGCAGGACAGCCTGTGGAGTTGGAGAAACTGGGAGGAGGCCTCTGTGGATGGAGCAGAGTGAGGGAGGGGAGAGCAGGAGGGGAGGGAGGGTATGGGGAGGGGCAGGGAGTTATTGCAGGGCCCTGTGGGCCTCCAGGAGGACTCAGACTTTATCCAGGAGTGTGCATCAGCACTGGACTGTGAACCACAAGGTCAGCAGTTCAAACCCACCAGCTGCTCCTTGGAAACCCTGTACAGCGTTGCTATGAGTCAGAACTGACTCGATAGCACTTAACAACATCAACAACAACATGGACCCTGGTGTGGATCCGGAGGATAAGCACCAGCTGCTCCTCGGAAACCCCATACAGGGTCACTGAGTCAGAACCAGCCCTTAACACCTGATCGTCTGTGGGCGATTTTAAAGACTCCAAGGGCCTGGCGTGAGTTTTGCGGGGTTTTGTTGTGTGGAGAACAGAACTCAGGGCTGTCAGGGACTGGGGCCTGGACATTGGAGAGGAGGCAGATCTCCCTGGGCCTGGCTGGCCCCAACTCCCAAGTCTGTCCTCTGTCCCCTGGGGCTTCCCTTGTTTGTCTGTGACCTGGGGGACAGGTGAAAGGAGGTAGAGTTACACCGTCAGGTTCAAATCCCAGCTCTGTGACCTTGGGTAAACCGTTTATCCTGCGAGGTCTCTTTCTCCACATCTGTGAAATGGGGTTGCTCTTTGTGTGACACCATCCATCCAGTCAGATCTGAAGGGTTTTCTAGACTGTGGTCTCCATGGGAACTGACAACCAGGACGTTCCTCCAGCAGAGCTGCTGGTAGGTTTAAACCGTGTACGACGCTTAGCCATTGAGTCACCAGGGTTCCTGCGAGAAGGGAGAACTCCTGGGAATCTCCACATTGGGACAGGCCCAAGGGCCTCACAGAAGGGTCCTCACCTGGGTGATTTGTCCCTGGGAACATGGACAGTGGGCGCTGTCTGGGGATGTTTGTGGTTGTCATGGCTGGGGGATGGGGAACTACTGGCATCGAGTGGATGAGGGGCCAGGGATGCTGCTCAATACCCCACCGTGCACAGGATCCCACCCCCAAGGATCCAGCTCCCATGTCAGCAGTGCCAAGGAGGAGAAACCCTGCATTAATTATTTAGAAAATAATTGAGTTTGGTCCCTGCTGACCCCGTCCACCAGGATAAACTCCCACTGAGACAGGCAGTGCCAAACAGGGGGACCTTCCCACTCCTGGGATTTCCCTCCTCCCCTCCTACTCTGGTAGCGTAGTGGTTACGAATCGGGCTGCGAACCGCAAGGTCAGCAGTTTTAAACTACCAACTGCTCCACGGGAGAAAGATGAGGCTTTCTGCTCCCGTAAAGATTTACAGCCTTGGAAACCCTGTACAGGGTCGCTGTGAGTCGGAACCGACTCCACGGCACATAACAACAACAACAACTCCTCCCATTCAGTGTGTGGACTTCAATGTGGGCAGACTCCTAGGACATCGGGGTCAGACGACTATGGGATGATGTAGTGTCTCTTGGGGGTCAGTGGATCCCTCCTGGAGACACTGGGTGATGTCTGGGAACACTGTGAAAGTAAATGGCTTGGAGGGGGATGCTACTGACCCTGCACCCCAGAGAAGTAACTGGGCCAGTTTACAAAACCCTGGTGCACAGTAACTGCCCAGGGAATGGTGAACGGTGAATGGTGTGCTCCCTGGCTTTGCCCGTGCACGTGATGCACCCTCATTGAACCCTTGTTTCTGAACTACCCTCGGCAGAGGTAGTCCCTGCCCGGCAGGGCCTGCCCTCCGCCAGGAGACAGGCTTGCTTGGGAGCAACTAGAAGGCAGGTGCTTATGGGGACACGTGAGCGGTTCTGTTAATGTGCAGGTGTTTGTTTATGGGGACAGGCAGGCAGGTGTGCATTTTGGGGGACATGCAGGCAGATGTGAAGGTGTGGTTTAGGGGGCCACATGGGCAGGTGAACTAGTACACAGGTGTGCTCATGGGCTATGTAGGCAGGTGTGTTGTTAGCAGCGACACTGTGCACAACAGAATGAAACACTGCCCGGTCCTGGGGCAACCTCACAATCTTTGCTACGCTTGAGCCCATTGTTACTGCCACTGTGCCAGTCCATCTTGTTGGGGGGTCTTCCTCTCTTTCTCTGACCCTCCACTTTACCAAACATGATATCCTTCTCCAGTGACTGGTCCCTCCTTACAACACATCCAAAGTACGAGAGATGAAATCTGCGCTATCCTGGCTTCCAAGGAGCATTCTGGGTGTACTTCTTCTAACACAGATCTATTGGTTCTTTTGGCAGTCCATGGTACTTTCAATATTCTCCTCCAACACGATACTTCAAAAACATCAATTCTTTTGCAGTCTTCTTTATTCGGTGTTCAACTTTCCACATGCATATGAAGTTATTGAAAATACCATGGCTTGAGTCAGGCGCACCTTAGTCCTCAAGCTGACATCTTTGCTCGTCAACACTTTAAAGACGTCTTGTGCAGCAGATTTGCTTAGTGCAATACATCATTTGACTTCTTGACTGCTGCTTCCATTAATGTTGGTGGTTGATCTGAGCAAAATGAAGTCTTTGATAACCTCCATTTAGATTCTAGGATGTTATTTATTAGGCCAGTGGTGAGGATTTTTGTTTTCTTTACATTGAGGTGCCACCCATACTGAAGGCTGTGATCTTTGATCTTCATTAGTAAGTATTTTAAGTCCTCTTCACTTTCAGCAAGCAAGGGTTTTTCATCTGTATATCGGAGGTTACTAATGAGTCTTTCTCCAATTCTGATGCCACTTTCATCCCTATCTGTACCCATTCCAAAGAGAGGTGGCCCAAGGGTATGTGGAAATCATCAGGCAAGAGCATTGATAGTCCCTACGAGTCACGTTTTGTTAAAGATAATACAAAAACGGCTGCAAAACACACAGGTGTGTTATGCAGATATAAATCTGCCCAGATGGGGGACTCGCAGACGTATCAGCTATCCTAGCCGACAGGCAGTGTGCCTGCACAACCTCGGCTGAGCCACCTGGCGCGCTCTTCCCTTCCCTTCCCTTCCCTTCCCTTCCCTTCCCTTCCCACAGTGTCCAGCCGGCCTCCCAGGCCTCGTGGCTGTCAGCTCCAGAAGGGCCTAGACTTGGAGGGGGGCAGGGGAGTTGTTGCCAGCTGATTTGTATCCAGGGCAACACTGGGCTGGGACACCCTCCTTCCCAGTGAGTGCTGCTAGCCTGCACCCAGAGAGTCCACCCCCCCTTCACTCACATGTACAGCCTCGTACACATACACATGGCATGCACACACACACGCCCTCTGTCTTGCCACCCACTCCCAGGAAAGCGGAGGCCTGGCTGCTGAGGCTACACGGGGCTGGGGAGATGCATCAGGGCAGACAGCTCAGTCTCCAAACCTTTCAGAATATTCCTGCCTATTCACAAACCCCATGGTGGGCCAGGGACACTGGAACTAGGTCGCATCCCCCCTCTAGGACCTCCTGTGGATGCCCAGCTGCCACTTGGCGGGAGCAGCTCTGAGCTGCCCAGTTCTTGGCAGGAGAGAAGGTGGGGCCACACCTGTGTGGACTTGAGGCTCCTTGTCCCTTCTCTGCTCTGAGCCTCGATTTGCCCCTCTGTAAAATGGGCACTGGGCCCCTCACTCTCAGGTTGCTGGGAGGAGGAGAGGCAGGGCGATGTCTAAAATATTTGGACCCCCAACTATGTCTGACACCAACCCTTTATGTATGGATGGAGGGGGAGCTTCCAGGTCCTGGGAGAATCTGGGGCTGTGGGAGGGGACACTGAAGAAGGTCTCTAAATGGCACAGATGGTTTAGCGCTGTAGGATAAGCACTCCACCTCAAAGTTGTTTTGAAATGCAAGGGCAGTGATTTCCAATTCACTAGCCGCTCCTCAGAAACCCAATACAGGGTTGCTATGAGTCAGAAGCAACTCGACTGCACTTAACAACAACAACAGTAAACAAAAGGTGGGTGATTTGTACTACTCAGAGGCCCCACACAAGGAAGGCCTGCATCTGCCAAGTACACCATATAGGACAGTTCTGTGGAACATGTGGAGGTGCCGTGAGTGAGAACGAATTTGGGGTAGGGTTTTCTGGGACATAAGGGCTGTCGGTAAGACCTTGGACCCATGGACACCCAGAGTGTGGTGTTGAGGGGATGAGGGAGTGCGGCCACCTGCACCCACTGGCCCCTGACTGTCTTGGCCCTGCCTCCACAGGCATCTCGTCTCCTGTGAAGAAGACAGAGATGGACAAATCCCCATTCAACAGCCCATCGCCCCAGGACTCACCACGATTGTCCAGTTTCACACAGCACCACCGGCCTGTCATTGCTGTGCACAGCGGTGAGTAAGCCCGCCCTCCCAGCTGTGAAGTCCCACCCATTGTCTGACCTCGAACCTCACTGTTTGAGCCTCCTGGCCAGCCAAGAAAATTTAAACATGCCATGGAGAGCACCCCAGCCTGGTCCCATCCCTACCTGTAGGGGCACCCCGGTCTCCCTGGGCCTTGGTGTCCCCTTCTGTACAAGAAGAGGTCAGGGGCTCTCAGTATCACATGCAAGAGATCCTTGGCAGACCTCAGGGTCCACAGAAGAATGTAAACTCACCCAACTAATGCCAGACACCACCCCCATACCCAGGCAACGTTCATATCGGCACAGACAACAAGTCTCACACACACACACAGCAGATGGAGACAGACTCCAGAAATCAGGGCGTGACTTCAGATGGTCCTCCATGTCCTCACCTGTCCCCACCTCTCAGGCTCATCAGTAGGATTAACAGAGCTAACCTTAGGAAAGCTCTAGAATGTTGCTTTTTATCTCGTTCCGACATTGATGTCAATTGAATTCCATCTGAGGAGACAGGCACACAAAGAGGAAGGCAGGCAAATTGAAGGGAACTAGCAGTTTAGTCAAGGGTCAGCCCACAAGTCAAATTCAGCCCTCTGCCAGCATTTATAAATAAAGTTTTCTTGGCATATGGCCACGCCCATTTCTTTAGATTCGAGCTATAATGGCAGAAGAATCCGTGTAGCCTGCAAAGGCAAAAGTCCTTAATCTCTGGCCAGGATCTAGGTGCACAGACAGTGACTGCCAGTGCGGATGGGGTTTCCAGAGTGATGAAAACATCCTGGAATTACATACTAAATTGACTAAAATATGAGGCACCCTGGTGGTCCAATGAGTTAAGTGCTGGGCTACTAACAGCAAGGTTGGCAGTTCAAATCAGCATCGCCTTGAGAGAAAGATGAGACAGTCTGGTCCTGTGAAGATTTACAGCCTTGGAAGCCCCAGGGACCTGCTGTGCCCTGTTCTTTAGGGTCACTGTGAGTTAGAATGAACTTGAAGGTAGTGACCACTCACTGCTAAAACATCTAACACGTGAAGATACTGAAAATCACTGGGTGGTTTAAAAAAAAAAAAAACAACGAAGGAAGCAACAGTGCACTGAAAGAGTTCAGCTCTCGAGAGAAATGAAATGAAGTTCTTGTAACAGTCAGGTACAGATGAGCTTTAAAAAAGCCCGATGCTCAGTGAGAGAAGTGGGCTCCCCAGCCTCTGGTTCAGAGCACAGGCCGAGGAGCTAACGACATGGGTTCGAGTCCCAGTGGGCCGTCTGCTTCAGACAGGTGGCACCATCTCTGCGGTCCTCATTTCACCCTCTAGTAGTGACCAGAATGGATGATCCCAAAATGACTTGGGGCCCTCGTGGGTACTGTGAAGTCCAGGTGTATGGATGCAACCACGCTTGAACTTGGTTGGTGCTGTTTTAAGGCGCCCTGGTGATTCGAACCTACTGTCCAGACGAGATAGATGAGGTGGTGGGCTTCTAGACTGAAAGCCTCGGAAACTGTATGGCAGAACTCTCCTGTGTCCTGTAGGCTTGCTCTGAGTCAGGATCACCTCAATGGCACCCAGCGCTGAGAATGGCATTCCTGTTATTAGAATTATGCACCAGGTACAGACTGACTCCCACCACCCATCTCTACGAGGACACACACAGGTAGTAGGTGGAGAGAGGCCCACACCCAAACCCCCGCTGACCACCTGCCTGTCACTGCTGTGTCCACAGGAATCGCCCGGAGCCCTCACCCATCCTCGGCCCTGCACTTCCCCACGACGTCCATCCTGCCCCAGACGGCCTCCACCTACTTCCCGCACACGGCCATCCGCTACCCACCTCATCTCAACCCCCAGGACCCGCTCAAAGATCTCGTCTCTCTGGCCTGTGACCCGGCCAGCCAGCAGCCTGGACCGGTGAGTCAGGCGGGGAGGGGGCTTCTCCTCGCCGTCCCACAGCCCCTCAGTGACAGACACCTCGTCCTTCCCGGGGCCCAGCCTTGCGCCGCCATCAGACCATGGGGCTGAGTCGATCTGAAACATGCAGCTTGTATTTTGTGACTGTCGAACAATCATCCGTCTGAGGCACTTAAGAGTCCAAATAGGTTGGGATTGAGTCTTTCTCACATATTCGAATATACGGGACGTCTAGTACATGATGAGGTAGTGGAGGTTTAGGGTAGAATGCTCACTTTCCACGTGGGAGACCTGCGTTCACTTCTTGGCCACAGAACCTCATGCGCAGCCATCAGTCATGTGTCCACGGAGGCTTGCGTGTTGCTAGGATGCTGAACAGATTTCAGCAGAGTTTCCAGACTCAGACAGGCTAGGAAGAAAGGCCTGGCGATTGACTTCTGAAAACCAGCCAGTGAGAACCCTGTGGAGCGTAAGGTTCCAATCACAGCCTAGCATGGGTCTAGCACAGGACGGGGCAGAGTTCTGTTTCATTGTGCATGGGGTCATGCACATGAGTTGAGGACTTATTCAGTAACAGCCAACAGTAGCCATGTGTTATGGGATACCCCAGTAGGACCAGAGGTGACACCCCGTCTTCAGGCCAGGGCTTTGAACCAGTCCCCCTGCTGAGCATCTGCCTTTCCGCCTCAGATACCCTGAATCAGAACCTATGTCCTGCTAAGATCCCCAGCTGCGTCATACGTACACAGCCATACATACACAGCTACGTTGTACATACTGGGATCTCGTTGAAAGGTTTCAGTACAACTGCAGTGGAAATGCAAATTCTCAGCCAGACGGAATTGGTTCAAAGCCCTGCTCCAAATGCAGAGGTATTCCTACAGTGACGCCCAGGACTGTAGATGCCTGGCAGGGAGATTATTAAATTGTTTTTGGTTTCTTTAAACTTTTCATTGAGAATTGAGTGACGGTTTACAAACCAGACCATCAGTTTTACTTTCAACAAGTCGTCCACTTCATTTCATCTCAGTGATTACCGTCTTCCCCCATGTAACAACAGTTCTCCTGCTTCCTCCCTGAGTTTCCTCTTTCCATTCCCCCCACCTTCCCACCTTTGTCCTTAGAAAATGTGGCCCCTTTGATTTTGAATGACTGACCATTCCATCATTCATAGTGAGCACACCTTTCTAGTGGTGGTGTCCCTCCTACATTCGGGCCACGAGGGTGAGATCCTTTCCAGACCTGAAGAGTGGCCGGGGGCCAGAGTCTCAGGTTCCTCCTGTCTCATTCTGACCAGTAACCCTGGTCTTTTTTTTTCTCTCTCTTTTAAGTAATTTTAAGGTTTGTTCCACATATTCTGCTACCCCATCCAGGATCCCTTTCAGAGCAGTTGGTAGTGGTAGCTAGGCACCCTTTAGTTGAGATAAAATAAGTTTTTAAAAACCGTTCCAGCCAGGCTATCGCAAACTTTCAGGAAGAAACTTACGGTGTTGCGAGCTTTCTGGATTTTGGAATCGTGGGGTAAGGTGGCTGCTAGCTTGTCTTCCCCATGACTGAAGAAAAGCACGTAAAGAGTGCGTGGGGTCAAAAAAGCACTGGTGTAGGGGAGGCGGCATTTCACAGATGAGCTAGCCTGCAGCCAGCCAGTTTGAGGAGGAGGCCATGTTAGGGGTGCTCCTGAGTGATGCAAATACACTTGACTGGCTGTTCACCAAGGTGGTGGTTCGAGTTCATCCAGAGGTGCCTTGGAAGAAATGTCTGGCAATTGGCTGCCCAAAAGCCCAGCCATTGAAGACCCCTTGGGGCACAGTTGTACTCTGGTATCATTGCCATGAGTCGGAATCGATTATAAGATGGCTTTGTTTCGACGTAAACAACGCGAATGTATTGTTGGGGACTGCTTGGGGTCCGGGTGACCACCACCACTCCACTTCCGGCTGATCTGAGACCCACCAAGCTCACCTGGTCAAGCCAGCACCTTGGGCCCCCGACCCCAGCAGGACTGCGCGCAGAACCGGGGGCAGCCGGCGCCAGCAGCCCAAGGTGCAGGGGACACCCTCCCCTTAACCACGTGTCTCTCTGTTCCCCCAGTTAAATGGAAGTGGTCAGCTCAAAATGCCCAGCCACTGCCTTTCCGCCCAGATGCTGGCTCCGCTGCCCCCCGGGCTGCCGCGGCTGGCACTCCCCCCCACCGCCAAACCCACCACCAGCTCCGAGGGAGGAGCCACATCGCCAGCCTCACCCAGTAAGCACACATTCGGGTGCCTGTGAGCTTGGCGGGTCTCCTGAGAACGGTCAGGACCAGGTGGTCAGGTCCCCAGGGGCAGCCATAGGGAATGGCAGCATGAAGCCTGGGGGCACCCTCTCAGGTGCAGTAAGCAGAGGTCTCAGACTGGCCAGCCCCAAGGGCCAAACTTGGCCCCCCAAGTGTATTTTGTCGGTGCAAAATGAACATCGGTTGCTACTGTTAGGAAACCAGGATGTGTCACATAAAATCTCTGAATTCCAGATTCTTGGGAAAGGCCGTCCGCTCTGGGCCTGGTGCCCACTGGTGGCACCAGATGGGGTTGCTCTTTAGATGGGACAGTCTCTGCCTGCTCTCCTGACTCCGGTTTGTTGGCCCTACCTTCTAGGCTTTTCTGCTCTGTGGATGTGATCCTAAGTAACAGCTTGGTGGCCCCTCACCCACCTCTCAATTCAAGGCTGAGATGGAATTCTGGGATCCTGTCCCAGAACCCCCACTAGCCACAGTGGCCCTGCCCCACGCTTCCCTCCTGGTGTCCAGGGTTGAGCCCAGCCCCCTCATTGGTGGTTCTGGTGGTCTCAGAACCCCTGACCTCTCCCTGTCATTTCAGTCCTTCCTTACCCAGAACCCCAAATGAAAGCCCTCAGCTACCAAGTAGGGAGTGGCTAGCAGCTTCCTTCTGCACACCCAGCAAGCCATTATACCCACCTAAGGAGCTCTGGTAGCGTAGTGGTTACGAATCGGGCTTTGAACCTTAAGGTCAGCGGTTCGAAACTACCAGCCGTTCCGCAGGAGAAAGATGAGGCTTTCTACTCCCGTAAAGATTGACACCCTCAGAAACCCTGTTACAGGGTCGCTATGGGTCGGACCCGACTCGACGGCACTTAACAACAAGCTGACCCCCAAGACCTTCTAAACAGAGTTCAAAAGGACTCCAGGAGCCCTCCCACCTGCAGTTCCCCAAACTCAGAGCCGGCCAGTTCTGGAACAGGTCCTGGCTTTGAGTCCTGCCTCCGCAGTTCCCTTCCTGTGTGACCTTGGGCAAATGTCTTCCCCTCTCTGAGCCTCAGCGTTCTCAGCTGCAAAGTGAGACAGTCCCAGCTCTCCAGTCTTGTCAGGTAGCCAGGAATGGGCGAGTTGGTGAGCTAGATCTGGGGAAACACTCAGGGCAGGGGTGGGCACAGAGTCAAGCCAGTCTCCAGTATTGGTTGTTAACTATGGCCTCTCCTTTCTCATCTGTAAAATGGCGATAATGTTGTTCACTTCTTAAGGGTCCAATGGGATCATACCTAGTGCTGGCATCCAATAGTCAGTTAATAAGTCACCGAACAGACCAAACGTTTATTCCCTCCCTATCCCCTGCACCAGGGTGCTTCCTACCCTGAATCTTTTACTTAAGCATCCTCCACCCCAGGCCAAGGCCATATGCCACCTGCAGTTCTGTCCCCCCTGCCTGTCCACTCACCACCCTGGTCGCTGCCTGTGCGAGGCCGCATCCCTTCCAGCTTCCCAGTGCTATCAATTATTTACTCACCGGCAAAATGTAATCGGTGAGATTAAAATATACATCCCTGTATGCAAATACAAGGAAACTGTCCGTGCGCCAGCTCCAGGAGGGAAATGAATAAATAAAACACCTTCAATAATTTACTGCACCCCAGCCAGGACCGCAGGCTGCTGGCACAAGATAGGCCAAGCAAGCAAGACTCTCCGTAATTCACAACCAGTTCTGAACGATGAGTCGTTCGGCCTTTGTTGCCCCTCTTGGTCACTGCCCATGCCCCAACCCCTGCATTGGCAGGCAGAGCTATGACCCCAGGGGAGCCACCAGACAGGACTCCCAGGATGGTGGATTTTCAGGGTTGTCCCATTGACCGGCCATGGGTGGGGGGGCGGAGGCCTGGCTGTGTGGCCCTGTGCCCACCCCTCGCTAATGGGCTCTCGGTCTCTCTCCTCCCCACAGCCTACTCTACGCCCGGCACGTCCCCTGCAAACCGTTCCTTTATGGGATTAGGACCGAGGGAGCCGGCGGGTACCTGTCAGGCACAGGTAGGGGCCGAGAGGCCAGCAGCAGGGGGGTGGGGGGCACCCCACAGCCGCATGAGCGTGGTGAGGGAACCACCTCCCCGTTCCTGCCAAGACCCCAGAGGCCAGAGCCTGGGTCCCGAGGGTCACTCTAGCCCAATCGTACAGATGGGAAGACTGAGACCGAGAGAGGCCAAGGGATCCACCCAGGGTCACACAGCCGCAGGTCATCCCCTTCCTCCCAGCCTCTAGTTCCCTCATTGCTGTCACCGAGGAACAGCCAGTTAGTTGTTGGGGAGCAGGGCCCTAGAGGGCCCAGAACTGAGGCTCCATGGGGTGGGGAACAGCTTTAGATCCCTGCCAAGTGTGCCAGTACCCGTCCTTGGGTGAGGGGCCCTCCAGGATTACGCTACCAGCTGCAAGTCTGTGGGTAGTGCGGCCCTGGAGCCCCCATCGGTGTGTGTGGTGCAGAGATCGGGCCAGGCCCCAGGATGACAGATCGAGAGCTGCTGGTGGGGGGTGCCTTCTGGCAGTGTCTAAATGCTACACACACACACCCGGGAGAATCCCAGGGGGTGCTGGAAAGGGTCCCCATTCTCTGAAAGCTCAGTCAGCTCCATACTCTCCTCCAAGGAGACTGACCCCGAGGTGACCCTGAAGCCGTCCTGATTGCTGCTGGACTTTGTGGAGGGCAGGGCCTGGCCAGCCCCATAACCACTCAACCCACCAAGGGCCCAGTGGGGTCACCCGGTGCCTCCTCTGTCCTAGAGGAGATGTCCCCTTCTAGGACCCCTGGGCCCCCAGCTTTCCTTTCCATAAACTGGCCCCAGAGGACACAGCTTCTCCCAACCAGTGTCGGGGGTTTCAGTCTGAGGCTCTGGCCCTCCACCCTGGTCTCTTCCAGCCACGGCCCCTCCCATGAGTCTGTCTCTACGCATGGCACCACCCCACCTGTACCCCAAATCCTCAGCCCTCTACCTGGTGCTGGCCGATGTTTGGGGCCTACTGCAGAGGTCCCATTGCTCCATGTGACTCACTGAGCTCTAAGGGCCCAGGACCCCCCAGCTCTGGGTTCTAGGCCACGGCACAGCCAGGACCCCCGCCCAATTGCCCATGGACAGAGACTTCCTTTCCCAAGTCTCTCCCTGCAGGAGGCTGGGAATGCCTAACAGCAGCAGAAATCCAAGCTAATAAAAACCTAGGGAGGAGGCCCAGCCTCTTAACCCTTCCCCAGCTGCCTTCTCACTGATCAGCAGCCTCTGCTTTAGGGCCCACGTTATTGGCTGTCTGACCTGACCTTCTGGCCAGGCCTCAGGGAATCCCTCCATAGAGCTTAGGCTCGGGGAGGGGAGGGGCAGCTGCCGAGGAGAGGCCACTAGAACCCTTCCCAAAGGCAGACCAGGCTGCCAAGTGATGGGGAACCAGCTTGAATGCTGGGCTGGCTGATACTTGGGCTCTGTCTAGGGCAATGGGGAGTCGCGGAAGGCTTTAGAGCAAAGAGGGGCGCAGCCAGGTCTGAGAGTGGGAGGGAACTTTTAGGAGGCTGGTGTTGGGAGCGAGAAGGGGGAAGATTGGCAGAAGACTGACTCCCCAGGGAGCATGGGCTGGGAGGGGGTCTGGGAAGGACCTCCAGTGAGGAAGGGAAGAGGGAGGAAGCAGGAGCCTGTAGACCCTCCTAGAACCCCCCTTCCTCCCTGCTGAGCTAGCGGCCTCTCATTTCCGATTTTGATCCTGTCAGCACTTCTGCCTTAATGATTCCTGGTGGGTTTACATCTCTGCCCCACTTCCAACCCCCCCAGCCTGCCCCTCCTCTTCCCTAATCGATCCCCCTCCCTGGGTATCAATATCCCTTTCTGTGGCCAGTGCCCCCCTCCCCTAGCCCTGTCCCCACACCCTGGTCAGGATCTCCTTCAATGCCCCCTCCTTCTGATCCCTCCCAGCCGTTTTCCATCAGTCCTGGTTGCTCACCACACCCATTCTGCAGTTGAGTAGACCGAGGGCCAGAAGGGTTAAGTCACATGCCCAGAGCCACACCACACTAACTCAGTTTTCCCCTCAGCAGAGTGGAGGATGTGTTGTCCAGCAGGTCCAGCCCTGCGGCCCCTTCCTCCCACCCCTGCCCCCAACACACACACAGACTGAGACCAGGACAGGAGGCCTGGGAGAATAGAGGGAGGAAGGGCCGAGGGGAGGCCGTCCACCACTCGGGGAGGGTCACGCCCAGAGTCTGTCTGGTTGCCAACGGAAACCAGACATGAGGTAATGGCCAAGATGAACTTGAACTTGGCTGGAGTTGGGGGGCTGGGCACACCGGCGCCAGTGGGATGGGATGGCCCCAAGGCTGCCTGCAGGGCCGCCTGGTTGGAGAAGGGAGATCAGTTTACAGCCAGGCTAGGATGGCGCTTCAGAAGAACTTCAGACCTCTGACAGGCAGGGAAGAGCGGTCTCCCCCCAGCCAGGTGACCAGAACCACCAGAGGGGGGCAGTGCAGCCTCTACTCTGTGGGGATTCCCCCCCACCCCCAGCCTTGTCCTAGTCACAAGGCCTATGGAGGGATCAGACTCACCCGCTCTGCATCCCCCACTCCAGCCTCAGTCTCTTCCTCTATAAAGTGGGCCTCTGAAACAAAAATGGCACCAAAGCTGCCCTCAGTTCCCTGTGCTGTGAAATATGCATCGGATGGCTAACCGCAGGGTCAGCAGTTCAAACCCACCAGCCGCTCCTTTGGAGGAAGCTGAAGCTCTCTGCTCCCAGAGAGATTTACAGTCTCAGAAGCTCTTTTCTGCCCATAGTGTCGCTGAGTCAGAATCACCTCAACGGCAGTGGATGGGTCCCCTATTGGCGCTGTGTGTCCTTTATTAAAGTTATGGGAGTCACAGGACCCCTATGTGAACCGAACCCATATGTCGAGGCAGGTCCCCCACACCAACTCTGTGTGTGTGACAGGGTGACGTTCCAAACTCCCTTGGGGAAAGTGAGGCTTGGAGTGCCAATGACCAGAGTTCAAATTCGTACTGTACCAAGTCCACGCTAATGACCGTGGGCAAGTTACACAACCTCCCTGAGCCCCAGCCTTCTCCACCGCAGAACAGAGGCCAGTCCTTCCATCGCAGACCACCGTGCTGGGGGATACTCTGTAAAGTTTCATTCATTTCCCTCCACGTACCGGACCGGGGAGTGCGCCCCATGCCCACCGGGACCCCGCTGTCATTCCTATGGTGTACAGTAAGGGCTCAGAGATTACAATGTCCAGTTCCACAAATAAAAATATTCAGGACTCTTAAGTCCTAACCCCAAAATATCCCCTAAGTCTTAACATCAAACAGTAATTCACAGTAACTTTAGGAATGTCTGCCGTGAGCATCGTGTTCTTTTAAGACCTATCTTGAAAGATTAGACAGGAACTTGAAGGAGTTGTGAGTTTATGTTGACGGAAGAGGAATAACTGATAAAAGGAGGCTGGGAATGGAACAGAAGTAATTCAGCTGTACCAGGAGAGGTTGTTGAATTGACATAGTGGTTAAGTGCCATCTAGTCGGTCCTGACTCATAGTGACCTTGTATTGGGTTTCTGGGGGATATCTGGTGAGTTTGAACCGCCAGCCTTGTGGTTCAGACCAACCATGTGGTTGATGCTTCTCAACTCCAGTGCTCCTTTTATGTAGTTTTAAAAGTACTTGCAATGAGTAAATAAGTCATTGGTCTTATAAAATTTTATCATTGATAATTAACTGGTGATTGGAATGTGAAGATTGGAAACAAAGAAGGATCAATAGTGGGAAACTATGGCCTTAGTGCTCTGGTAGCGTAGTGGTTACAAATCGGGCTGCAAACCGCAAGGTCAGCAGTTCGAAACTACCAGCTGCTCCGCGGGAGAAAGATGAAGTGTTCTGCTCCCGTAAAGATTAACAGCCTCGGAAACCCTGTACAGGGTCGCTATGAGTTGGAACCGACTCCATGGCACATAACAACAACGACAATAATGGCCTTAGTGAGGGAGGATTAGAGACGGGACCACACTTCCGGAAGGGTGTAAACCCAGGTAGAGGATCTGTCAAGAGGCAATAACTTTGCATATTGATATCTGTATTTACTAAACGGTTCTGAGGGGTTTGTAGCAGTACTTTTTGACTCTCCCCTCTTAAGTTCTGTTGTGTAGGTTTTCAATAACAAAAATAAAATAAATTATATAAAAAATTAAAATACAGGGCATCCAGTTAAACCTGAATTTCAGATAGGCAATGAATTTGGGGAGAAAAAAACAATTCAGTCTATCTCACTTACTGCTAAAAGCAAACTTCATCCATTGTTTATGTGATGTTTCAATTGAACTGGGCAGCCTGCGGCGAGGAGCTCGGGTGGCATAACAGGTGAAGCATGGGCTGCTAACCACAAGGCCAGCAGTTCAAACCCCCCAGCCGCTCCACAAGAGAAAAATCAGGGTCCCTGCTCCTTCAGAGATTGACAGGCTCAGAAACCATTTGGAGCAGTTCTACTGTATCCTACAGCTTTGCTATGAGTCTAAATTGACTTGTATGGCTGTGGGTTTGGGGGCAACCAGTATTGCCCAGGACCACCCAGGTCTGAGATAGGGGAGATGGAGTCATGGGGGTGGGGGGAGAGCAGTGGGCAGGGTCATGGTGGGTATGGGAAATCCGGAGCAAGGTCAATGAAGAACCTGACCACCCTCCCTTATTTCTCTCTTTGTCTCTCTCTCTCCTCCCCTCCTCTCATTTTCTGTGTGTGTTTGTCTGCCGCCCCTGCCAGTCCTGGTATCTGGGATAACCAAGGTCTCCCCACGCCCCTCCTCCTTCGTCCCAGGACAGCTGGAGGGTAGCCCAGCCGGCCCCCGGCCCACGTTCTCAGCGGAAAGATAGAAGCAGCTAGAACACCCCATTAACTCCCAGGCCGGCAGAAAAGACACAACACACAGAAGAGGAAAACTTTTAACAAAGGAAAAACAAAAGCAAAAAAGGATAAACAAAAGAGGAAAAAGAAAAAAAAAACAACCCGCCCACCTGAGAAGAGGAAAGGTGTAAAAAATGGGCATCACTGCCCACTCGGAGGCCCTGGACTGGGGCGGGGAGAGCTGGCGGCCGGACGTCGGCTTCCTAAGTTATTCATCTCCCGGCTACCTGCTGCTCCGAAGGACAGATGCCTACCCTGGCCACCTATGCCAGGGCACCGCCCTTAGGCCCAGCCTGCCCAGAGACAGGTGAGCAAGCCCGGGACCTGCGGACATCCGCCCAGTACGGCCTCCACAAAGACGTCAACCAGGCCCCCCCACCATGGTGTTTGCCAAAGAGCGGGATGGGCACGTGTTGGGGACCCCAGCAAGGGGCAGCGGAGATGGAGGGGGCGGCCCAGGTGGGCAGGGAAGTGGCAGAGGTGTGTTGGACATGTCTGCTTCCCTGGGGTGTCCGGTTCAGCCTGAGGCTGCCCCCCCCCACCCTCCAGGCTCCCCCCCCCTTCTCCTAGCGTGCTCTCTCGGGGACTTGGTCTTTCAGCCCTCACGCCCCCCTAGGTGGGTTTGGGAGGAGCAGTCTCTATGCAATTAATCCCCCAGCCCCCGCTGACATCGGAGGCACCCACCCTGTCCCCCAGGGAGGGGTCGATGTTGCACAGATCTGTAAGAAATGCACTTTCGCAGGAGGGAGGCAGGGTCAGGAGACCCAGAGCTCCGGGCTCTAGGGTAGGGGGGCCATCGGGATTCTCATGCACCCAGACCTGGGAGGGATGTCCCCCCCTCAGCCCGTGGAGGTAGAGGGGGAGGAGAGAGTGGTTCTAAGTGCCTGATTGCCGCTGCCCGCCCCCTCTGTCCAGCTAGGACCGAGTGACTGCGGTGTTCTCCCCCTCCCCCCACCCCCTGCCACAGCCCGGTCACTTCCTGTCTAGGACCCCCCATTGCTGTGCTCCCATAAGCCTGGATATGGGACCCATGAGCGGGCCCAAGGGGCAGAGCTGAGCATCCCCCCCCCTCAGCACCCTGCTCTGCGGGGGTGCGGGGGTCCTGGGAAAGTCGGTGCCCCCCAATCCCGCCCGCCCCGGGACCCCCTGCCAGTGCCTTACAACCTGGAGTGACACCGTCCCTGGTGCCTCCCAGCCCCAAGGGGACCTCGGTTTGCACTTTCATCTTCCCTGGTGGCTTCTGGGAAGAGGCAGGAGTGGGATGGGGTCAGCCAGCCACTGAGGAATCTATGGAGCCCCGATGGGGGCCGGGCAGGGAGAGAGCGCGGTTGGGGTGCAGCGGTGGGGCGCCATCTGCTAAGCATTTTTCCGTTGAGCCGCCCTGAAAACACTAAAGCTGAGGACACCCGGGGGTCCACCTCCCAGCCCCCCTAGGATCGCCATCTTGGGGAGGGGGCCAGTGTTTTAGGGACCCCCTTCCCAGCCATCCATCCCAACCCACTGACCTCCTTCATGTCTGGCGCTAAGGGGATCGCTCCCCCCACTTGGATCAAGGCCAAAGCCATCCCCAAGGGCAGGGCTCCCCATTTCTCTTAGCTCTCTACTTGGGGGGCACCTCTGTCCCACCATCCCTGGGATGCCCTCCAGCTCTCAGTCCTCCAAAACCTGCCCCAGGGGCTTGGCAAACCAACCTGGAAAGAGAAAGATCCCTCCCCCCCACCTCCCGCTCCCTCAAGGTTGGCTACTCTCAGGCCTGGAACCGTTGGTCCGTCTGTCTGTCCACCCCTCTGCCCTCAGGGCCTCTCCAGCAGGTGGTGGCCATTGAGGACCAAAGCGTGGGCTTGGGCAAGCAGCCGGATGGGTTGTGTGGTTTGGGTTTTCTGGAACCTTCTTGACCAGGAACCTTCGGGAGTTGGAGAGGCAGAATGGGGGAGGGGGACAGCACTCTGGGCGGGGCGGGGACTGACGCTCCCCCACCTCCCAGCGGGGGGCTAGACGGAAACCATCTCTTTACCTAACTGCATGGTGCTTTACTCAGGACCTGCTGGGTCCTGGCTCAGACGGTGAGCTGGCGGCTGATGCTGATACGACGTGCATGGCAAATAATACTTAGCTCTGTCTCCCTCCTGCCCCTTCCCGCCCTTCACCCACCCCCCTCTTAAAAAGAAAAAAAAAAAGAAAGAAAAAAAAAATCCTTAAAAAAATTCCACATTTCCTAATTTGCACGGAATTTTCTATCACATGATGTGCCTTGCTTTTTTCGAGAACAAGTATTAACTAACCGAACACACGATTCGCTGCATGTCCTGCCTGTGTAGTTAACGACAAGAGACAACACACACACACAAACACACACGCGCGCAAACACACACACAGACAAAACAGTAACATGAAATAAAAAATAAAAACGGGAAAGAGCTGTATTTCTATTTGTTAAAAAAAGATATTAAGAATGATAAAATAAGATTTTAAAAAAACAAGAGAGAAGGAAATCATTCTCCAAAAGCAATCCCTCCCACAGTGGTTTGGTTCCTCCTCCCTAGTTCGGTCTGCACCTTTTCCTGCTGCATTTCGGGGGGTGTTTCTGGTGCTTGCTCTTTGCCGCCCACAGCGCCCCCACCTCCTGGGCTCCAGGGCTCCGGAAGGGTGAGGACACACCTCATGGGTCACTGGGGTTACAGGTCAGCCCTCCTCCAAGATGCCACACCCAGCCCCTCGCCAGTACCCCTACTGGGGTGGTGCCCTGGGGTGCCTGGGAGCAGAAAGCCAGAACCCCCCCCCAACCCCGCCCCTCAGCACAGGCTCAGGGTCACTCCCTGTCCCCCACTTGACCCCTGTCTTCCTCTCTATATACCCCATCCTTCTTACCAAAGCACCTACTTCTCCCATCTCTCCCTTCCCTGGGGACCACCCTGGGTGGCATTCTCCCCTGGCCCCAATCCCCTGTTCTATGTCTTCCAGCTGTGAATATTAAGGGTATCTGGTAAAAAACAGCAACAAAACTCAAAACCAATATATGCAATATCCGTCCGTCTGTATCTGTAAGTCTAATACATCACTGTTGGGGCTCGGCAGATGGAGGCTGGGGCGGGGGTGTTGGTTTGGGGGAGTTGGGGAGGCAGGGGCTGCAGAGACTGGTCATGCTGTTCTGTTGGCTTTTCCTCCATTTTATTTTTCTTTCTTTCTTTCTTTTTTTTTAATTACTCCAATTTCCTTTGCTTCTGACTCAAGACAAGAGCCCAAGGTTTGAGGGCAGGCCAGACAGGAGAACCTGAGAACTGCATTCTCCAACCTCAGCTAAAAAAAAAAAAAAGTGGGGGGAGCCCCCTATTTGCCATCCCAGGCCCCCACCCAAGCCCTCCAAGCATTTCACTTGGGGACACTGGGCAGAAAGTCCTCATTGCCTGCCGCGCACTCAATCCTTGCTAGCCATTCTAAGAACTGGGTATGGTGTGGATGTGGAAAGACCCCTCCAACCAGCCCCAGGGGATAGGCAGGAGACCCGGCTATGGACTGGTTTTTATTTTTTCATGCAAACTTCTATTTCCCAGGGAGGTTGAGAGCAAGGAGCCACTGAGGCTGGGGGTGGGGAGGATTTCCCTGGTGCGAACCCTCAGCTTTGCTAGAGCCATCTTGTCCTGCCCTTGTCTCTACACCCCACCCCACCCCTGAGCCCCAGAGCTTCCGATGACTTCGTTGCTTCAACTTTTCATTCTCCATTTAGCACCATCCCGGGCAGTGTTTGTTTGTTTCTTGTTTCTTGGAAAAGCCACAGAGCCCCGGTAGGGTAAACTTCCTAGACCCCCTTGCTGCAGGCAGAGTAAGGGGACCCCAGGACCCCAGGCTGTGCATGGCTGATGTCATCCCCAGGGTCTGGGCTGGAGGATTGGTGAGGTTTGGGACATGCTAGAGAACTGACATTTTAAACCTGACACCCTGTCCCCCAAATTCCCACCACCTTCCCCATCGTTCATCCCCCCCCCAAAGAGAGCTGGCAGGACCCCATTCCTACAATGCCCCCAGAGAACAGTGAGGCCTCTCAAATATCTGCAGATTGCCCCCATCTCCTGTTTAGGTGGGTGTACCCACCCACTGTGGTGGAGAGGGGCAAGAAGACTGGGCCTAGCGTGAGCAGAGTGGGAGCTCGGGGGTCCCCTATGCATAGAGCTGGGACCCAGGCTAGACAATCAGATCAAAAAGAAGCCCAAAGGGAAGTCAAGGGCTGTTGATGAGCTACACCCCAGAGATGGAGACCTTGGTCCCGCCTGCAGCTCCCCAAAGAGCAGACAATTCCACCTCCAGCCCCCAGACATCCTCCTTCCTGCTCTGGGACCTTGGTTCAATCACTAGACACAGGCCAGCTTGGGTGGCTGCCCTGTGATCTTGTCACAAATAACACTGTCCCTAAAGGACAGCGGCAGGCTTAGGTAGGGCCCTGGGGCCCAGAGTAGCCACCCAGCCCTCCAGAAGACAGTACACAGCCCCCCACCCCTGACTCCAGCTTCCCCAATGGTACTTTGACCTTCAGCATAGGCCTATACTATACATATATCTATATATAATTTTGGGATATATTTCTCATAATCAGATTATACAGTGGCTTTTTTTCTTTCTTTTTTTTTTTACTTTAGCCTGCATACTCTTTCTGAGACCCTAGATTTTATTTTCTTTTTTTGGAGGGGGTGGGGAAGGAGATTCCAGAGACACACACACCCCCCAAATCCAATTTCATGAGCATCCTCCCATCCTTCCCTATTACTTCCCCTTTGGACACTTTCTGGCATCCCACCTCCAAAAAGATATCCCCTCCCATCCATCTCTCAGCATTTCCTACAGTGTGGGGTCCAAGCTGACCCCAGAGACACCCCCCCCAGGTGAGACAGGGAGGCAGACCCCCAAGCCATGCCAGCAGGACTTGTCAGCGATACCAAAACAACCTCTCCCCAAGCAGTGCCTCACTCATACCTGCTGGTTTGGTTTTGGGGTTCTTCTTCCCCCTCTTCCAGGGTGGCCTCCAGGTTTTGCT